TTCCCCTTGACGTGCTTCGTCTGCGGGGTCGTTTACTCCTGCTCATGTTTGTTTCTTGTAAGGGCGGCTACCGTGAGCGGTTCCGGGCGTCCCCTTATCCTACTTGGAGCTTTTGGGCAGTGGCCGTTGTCTCCCTGCGGTCTCTCCCTGTTGCGCGGAGGTCTGCGGGCTGTACAGTGTCGCCTGGGGGCTCTGCCACTGCTGATCGGCGTCGTACCCTGCCTGCGCACGGCCGTTATTTTCTCTTCCGTTACGTCTTAACGCGTTTTAGGTTTCTTTTTATGTTTAAGATTTTTTTTTATTTGCTTTGTTCTTGGAGGATTCGTTTACTGGAGGTAGATGCCGTTCAAAACGTATGCAATTCACCACCTCCTTCTTTCCAAGAGTTTTTTTCTCTCAAGGCTGGTTAATTATGTTTGTGTTCAATATATGGTTTTGATTTTTTGTGTTTGTTTATGCTGGTATGTGGCGTTTTGTTTGATTTCCCCCTCTGCTTCCCTCCCTCATTCCCCCCCCCTTTCCTAATGGGTCCGCAGTAATGTTTCTGAGCCTGAGCATTTTTTACATGCTGTTTTCACAACCCTCTCCCTTTATATCATCATATTTTTATTAAATTCTTGGTCCTTTTACACCTTTTCTCACTGAAATATTTTTCTCTCCCCCCCCTCCCTTAGCCTTGAAATACATGATATTGAGTTCAGTATGTATTTGTCCACTGGCTTCATAAATCTTTGTTGTGTAGATTTCTTACTTTGTAGTGTTTGTATTAGTTCTTGATGCCGCCAGGTTTAGGGTCGCAGCAATAGCTGAAGCGTATTTACCTTTTCATATGGGCCTTCATGGAGCTGTGGGCCCAGGTGAAGCTCCTGTGTTTACATAAGGATTGCAGTGGCTTTGTATAGTAGTAATTAACAGTCCAACTATTTCTCCCATAAGAACCAGACACCCTATATTATTGGCACTAAATAGAAGCTGAACAAATTAAATATGCAAGCTAGGATGAAATTTTCTTATGAATAGAGATGATTGCAATGTTCTCTGCATAAACTAATGAGCTTAAGCATAGATTAACTGACACTTGGCTTCTCAGTTCTTCTGACACTCTTAAGCTCTAGCGTAAGAGTACTGTGGGAAGCAACAGTAATTGTTTCCTTTTGTTATACCATATTGCACAAGGTTGAATCAGTTATTCAAACATCCCCTAATTTTTTTGAAATCTTTTTGCTCAGGACTTCTGTGATGTCCTTGAAGTTATACGAGTTATATATTTGCTGTAATCCATAATTAAGTTGAAATGATTAATGGAGTGAAAAGCTTTGAAAATTGAAGGTGGGGGAGGAAAGAATTCATATTGTGCATTTTTTTTCTCCTCCAGCTCTCAGTTAAAACAATAATACATTATAATAGAAATCTCAGTAAAACTTCTGCATAGTTTTAAAGTGCATTGTTCCTTACCCATTGTTTCTCTAGATCAGGAGCTGAATAAAGATGATGGAAATTTTTGCTGATACTTGTAAGTATGTATTTCCCTATATTTGGCTAGATTTAAATGACCTCTTCTGTTCTTCTTCTGTTCAGGACTACTAAAAGAAATACGTTTCCCTTGTCATCTGGTACCTTTTTTTTTAATTGTGTAACATTTTTGTACATCTTTTCTATAGTTTTGCTTTCTTTTCTCCTAAGGACTTTGAATGGTTCGGATGTTATATTCTTGTAGATTTTTCACATAAACCAGTTCATTGTCTTTCGGTGATTACTGGGAAAGTATATTCCACCTTGCAAGCTGCCATGTTCACCTCCTCTGTCTAATGTGTTTAAATGTGGATTAGCACTTTGTTAAAAAGACTTCTGTGTATTTTAGCACCTATTTTTCACTTCTTTTTAGTTCATTGACTCTTTTTGTGGCATATGCTGTGTGCTTAAACACTTTTTTCCATGAAATCTAAACTTGGTATATTTTTGCATAATATTTTCTTGATCCTCTAGATATTAACCTTTCCTAAGTGTACATATAATTTTTTCCTTGTCTTGTATCTGTGACTTTTTGGAAGTGTGACAACCCCACTGAGGAACCAAAACAGCTAACAACATAAATCGTCCCTGTCCTAAGCAATATCTTAACTTCAAAAGGGATAAAAGACACATGTTCAAAAGCCTAAATTCTTACTATGAGTGTTTTTACATAGAATCTTTGTAGATATGACAGCAATGTATTGGTACATAGAATAGATTACTGTATTAGGTTGTGCTTGGATGATTTGAGGAAAATGGTCCTACATTATATGATTGTTAAAGTCAAGTTGCATTTATCCATGTTTACCTTTTGCATAGCAAACTACAGAAAGGTTAATTTTACTGTTTTTATGTAAGCATATTGTATGTGCAAGGTATCTTTCTAAACACTTTATGAGCAGCTGGAGGTATGAAATAACCATCTACATGTAATTGAGGATTTAGAGAACCCCTCAAGGAAGATAAAATTAAACCAGTGGGAGGAGCATACATCCTGGAATATATTTACAGGAGTTCAGACACTTCCACGTTCTGGAAAAGCAGGAAGAACAACTGTAGAGCAAATTACATTTACTGAAATCTGGAGTAAAGCTTTCTTTTCTAAGGGGACATTTTGATTTTCTCATGTTCTGTGGCCCAGTGTTCACTTTTCACTCCTAGTGGCCTGTTTGTATTGATTACTTGATTCCCAGAACGAACAAGTGCATATTAATCCATGAAATACCTATTAATCATTTTTACAATGCAGCTTTTCCCATAACTCAAGACAGCTTGGGGAGGGTGAAGAGTTTTGTTTTCCTGTGATCACATGGCATTAGGTGGAAGAGCCTTGTGATGTCTCCCTTGATGTGGGCAGCAGCCAGGGGGATCCTAGAGGGAAGAAAGAGGTTGGGAGAAGACAGGAGAGGGAGCAGCTCTACTGGTCTGCCCGTTCCAAGTATGTCATAGCAAGGTGCAATGCTCTTTTTTGCTTCTGCATTAGCTTTGAATCTGACCTCTCATCTTGTTATTCCTGTTTATACCCCTGACCTTCCCCAGAAGCATCGCTTAGAGGAGGAGGCTGTTGCTATATCATGCACTTCAACTGTACATTTCAAAACTTGTTGTCCCTTCAGAGATCTAGTTGCTTTGGAGGGTTTCGCGGAAACTTGTTTAGTTGTT